GTAACTTGCTTGTTTTTCACTGGATTTTGAAACAGTTTATAGTAGCAAATCTCACTATTTCCTTCTGTCTGGTGCTTGCAAAATAAACTTTGGGTTTCTCAAATAAATCTAATCTCTGTCTTTGGCTAAAGCAGTGTTAGTGAATCCACTTGTTCACAGCAACAGTCTGAAGTGTGTTGAAAGGAAACAACCTGGACACAGATTTGCGTAGTCAACAAGACACAAGTAAAAATCTTGCTGGTGTTTTCTACTTTCTGTCAATTTCCATCTGTTGTAAGCAATGATATCCCTTTTTCCACGTTCCCTTTTGAATCTTGGATGAATTTTGGCAGCTCTCTGGCAATGCACTGCTGCTATTATGTAAGGTCTTCAGCAACATTTTACTTGCCTGAACTGTTAATGCTATGTTTTGTGGGATACAGAAAGGTTTTTCCCCAGGTTGTCCCCCATAGCATATGCCAAACCAAAGAACACATGGTCAATGACTGTATACTTGGAGGTCAACTACTTAGAGGTTATCTCCCTGAGGGCATCAGCCATCTCAAATCTTTTAGTTTATCCCACCCCAAGTAGGGCACACTTCTTGCTGATCAGGATAGTAGATTGTTTCCCCGAAGGAGAATCCAAAGACAAGGTCAAGCCAACTCAAGGAGGACCTAGGTTAGGCTGCTATCTTGACTTTAGAGTCTGCCAATCTCGTCACATGTGTATTCCTATTGCATCCCCTTCCTATTGTTGTACACCCCTAGCACATCCCCCTCCTATTGCAGGTATGCCTATGTATGCCCTTCCCATTATGATGTAATCAGGGGGGCTTCCAAGTTTCTCAAAATGTATATAAGCCATGATTGGAAATATATTCTCTCTCTGTGTGTGGACCTGGCTGCTGAGATCATGGCTGTCCCAGAGGTGAGCATTCGCATACTTATCTTGTCCCATGACTCTTTAATTTTACCCCTCAATTACACAACCAACCCCTGAACCTGTTTGATTGTGGGGGCTGGAAACCCACAATTGTTTAATAATTTCCACACCTGATGAAGTCACCTTTTCAAATGTGCACAAATATAGAGTTCTTTCAGTTATTTGGCCAAGTAGCTATTTTCCAAATTTCTTGGCATAAATGGTGAGTGAGTGCTTCCAGTTCTTCATCAGCTTGTTGAAACATTTCATTTGTTATTCTGTCAATTCCTGGAACCTTGTTTTTGGCTAATGCCCTCAGTGCAGCTTGAAGTTCTTCTTTCAGTGTCATTAGTTCTTGATCACATTCTACCTATTGAAGTGGCTAATCTCCAGCCTGTTTCTTCATCCTAATTTCTTCTTAATCTGGAAGCTCTGCTAAAATGTTAGGTGAATATATACTGCTATTTAAAATATGGGTGACATCGCTTCCAGAAACATTGTAATAATAAACATTGTAATATATAATATATAATGTGACAAACTGACAAATAGTGAAAGACAATCATTATAGATTAAGGTATGTGTGTATATATTTTAATATCTAATGTCTATGTTTCTTTCTACATACATAACCATATGGTATCTTGGTATATCACTATAGAGGAGTTTTTCAGGTTGTTAAGTTTCTCATAGATATGATTACCATGCACCTTTCTATCTTTTTTTACTCAACTCTTCTGGATTTTAAGTTTAGATTCATCTTTGCTGTTGTAGATGGATGGTGTTTTATTCATGTGAGATCCATCCATCTGTTGTTTGCACTTATAATTTGTCCTTTTTCACCCATGCAGCATTCCATTGAATGAATACAACACAACATAAGTCACTATTATTTTGTTCATGGATACTTTCATGGTTTCTCGATTTGACTATTATGAATAAAGCAATTATGAACTTTTTTGCTTGTCATTCCATTCATAACAGTATAATTGTTAGTGTTGATGATGGGCTGTTGATTTTGATATCTGTAAAAATAGGAAATTCTGTCATCAGAAGACACCACTAAAAGAGTGAAGGGAATTTTCACAGGAAAAAAATATTTCAATATGCCTTTCCATGAAAGAATTCATATATAGAAAGAACTCATGCGAGTCTGCAAGAATAAAAAAATGAATTGCAATAATCAGCATAAGACCTGAATAAATTCTAAATAGAAAAAAGTATACAAATACTTCCCACACATATTTTCTTCCTTTGCTGTTTTCCCATTATTGATTTTTCTTTGTCTGGCTTACTAGAAATTTTTGAATTTAGTATCATTTAGAAAAATACCTATTCTTTTGTTAATTTTCTTTTAGTAATGATGCTTTACCTTCTACACTGTCTCTTTATACTCAACAGGTTAAGGAGCATAATTTTCAGTGCCCACAACTTTGGCTGAAACCTGTATGTACTTCCATGTTTCATTAGCATTACTTGCACATAGACTTTTTTGGTTCTCTTATTTTTGTTTGTCTTTTAAGAAAATGATAGATGATTGCGTTTTATACTTACAATTTTATATTAATCTCTAAAGTTTTGCATTGAATTTAGAAAATGTAGTTCTTAGAGTTAGTATCTGAAATTATTGAGATTTTCTTGTAGCGTAGACATGATTGATCTTGTGATTCTGAAAAGAATATATATTCAAGACCAGGCATAAAATCCGAAGACTACTAAGACTGTGAATATTATATTATATATATTTTCTACCTACTCAATCTATCAAGTTCTGAGATAAATAATTTGCTCTCTCTTAAGGTGAACTCTTTTTAAGCTGCTGGGTGGACAATCTTTGTCTCTAATAGTTTTGCTTTATATATTTTGAGGTTGCAATGTTGAAAATACATGATTATAAATGTTCATAATTGAATAATATTTCTCATTCTTTTTGTTTGAAATGAACTTGTATGTCACAAAATAATCCAAATCCATTTCAGTTTTACTTTTCCTCCCTTTACAGCCACTCAGAACAGAGTTTGGATCTGACAGGCAAGGGATCTGGAGAGTGTTTAAGGTGTGACACTTCTCTCTCTTAAAACAAACAAACAAAAATAACTCTGTTTATTTCTCTTTAAACATTTATTTACACATATTTGCTTTTTTTCTCCTTTATGTTTGTGGAATGTAATACAAAAAAAATTCCACGTAGTCACACAGCCCATGTCATCAAACCAACCAGTAACAGTGTCCCATGAAGTTCCCCATATACATGGTTCTCTTTAGCTCTTCCCTTTTCCACCCGACCTCCTCCATCATTTCTAGGCTTTTGTTCCCTCCCTCTTCCCTGCCCCACTGAACCTTGACCACACGGTAGCCTTTGAAATCTTGTCCTTTGTTGTGGAAACCATTTTTCTTATTTTCCTTTATAGTAATGGTGTCATAAAGTCTTGATCTTAGCTAAGCAAATGTGCTCTAATTTTGTTCCATGTATTAGATGTTTGACAGACACCTCATTGTTTTCTAAAGATGCATAATATCCCATTGTATGCAGGTACTATAGTTTCTTTATCCATTCCTCCATAGTAGTCATTTTTTATTGTTTCCATCTTTTTGATATTATAGGACTTCCTCCAATAAATATATGTGTGCCTATGACTGTTTGTGTTTTTATAACATTTCTCATTCTTAAATATGTCCTAATGTTATATTTTAGTTGAATCCAGCATCATCTAAGGTACAATCAGACATACTAGTTTTGTATTATACTTTGTCTGCTTATTTATTTATAGATTTTTTTCTTAAAATCTTCATACACTAGAGTCTGTTTTATTTTCCTCTTTTCTGTTTTTAACAAAATCTCATTTAAAAAAATTTATACTTAATGTAATAAGGATCTTTGGTGCTTTAGTGTGTTGATCCTTGTGCTGCCAGACAATCAGCCATTTGAACCCAGTAGGTGCCTTGTGGGACAAAGATAAGACAATCTGCTTCTATAAAGAGTTACAGTTTCAGAAACCCGGAAGTAATTCTACTTTGCGCTGCAAGGTGACTATGAGTCTGCCAATGGTATGAGTTGGGCACTGTAATCACCTCTTTTTGTCATATTTCCCGGCATATTTTGCATTCAATGCTTATTAGGTTTTCTTGTGGGTCCTGCTTTCTTCTCTCTTGAATTTTATTAAAATACAAATGTTTTATGTTCTAGTTTTGCCTTAGTGATTTGAAAATCTTGGCAAAAACTTTTTATTTTCTTCATGGTATTTTTATTTTGAAAGTATCTTAAGCTTTACTTGTCTGCAATCTGCTTTTCTAGTCCCGAAAAGTTTAAAGGTCCTTTTTTTATTCTAAGTGTTCTGAAATATTACTTTATTATGTTATGATGACATACTTGCATATGTCATTGTCATAATATGTTTTTAAGTTAGTTATTATGATTATTCTCACTTATGTAGTTTTCTCAGGATCTCAAACCATCATATAGGAATGTTAAAACATTCTCTTACTATCCCAGTGTATCTGTGAAGCCAAGATTTCTATTTGAAATTTCATACTCAAAAAGTTCCAGGCAGTGGATCTCTTGGGAGAATCAGGGAGAGTTACAGAAATAAATACCTGATTCTTGCCTTGGAAATCTGTCAATTTAGTTTGAGAGATTGACACCCAGCCCGATGACTCAAATTTAAGCACATCAGGGATGAAAGAGATGCACTGAATATAGTCAGGGAAGGGCAGAATAGGTGAGGCAGAGGGAAGAATTTTTGTAAAGGGTAAAAAGGAGAGAGACAGAAGTGACAAGCATGTTCAGAATGATTCAATAATCAAAAATAAATTCCGAAAGACATGGGGATACAACTAAAAATAATAGTTTAGATGAGATGATCTGGAGTTTGTCAATTAAAATAAAATGGAAGACTTTGTTCATGGAAGTGATCGGAAATGGCTTTAGGTTCAGAATCACATCGCGGGCAGCACGTGGAAGATGACTTAGAGGAGAGATCGGAAAGTCTGAGAACAGGACCGCGGAAGAGAGTGTGGAAGGAGGGAATCCTTGTAAAGACTTTTTTTTCACCCTACTCACTTGTGAAAACTCATCCATCAACTGGTTTTGGAAGCGGAGGGCTCAGTGATGTCTCTTAGATTTCAAATATAAGTGATGGGAGATGCCGACATCATGAAATGACTATTTGAACAAAGCCGGTTTGAATAACGCAGTTTTATTGTAGATAAAATTTATTTGGGGGAAGAAGCGGCATCTACTAATCAAATAGAATAAACCAGATCATGACGCCCTTATTTCCAGTCGCTCAGAAGGGAAAGCTTTCACTGATGCTATCAGGTACAGCATGCTTTGGGAGGAGCTCAATGACAGCTGCACTCCTACCAGCACTCCCTACTGAAGCCCTCTAAGTGCTGCACCCTTGGTTCACACTTTTTGAAATATATATCTGAGTGGAGCTGAACAAGTAAAACCCACTCAACAATATATTTCCAGATGCCTCCGCCCCTCCCCCCCAAAGGGAATTTATGTTGTGTGTGGAAAGGGCTTTGCACTCTGGGATATATTGTGCCTATTATATTTGTGACTAATGCCACAACCTCAGGCCTGTTCTCTTAAGCACCACCCACGGACTGTCCAAAAGAGCAGGACCCATGATCCCACTTCTACTGGGGGATCAGTGTTCTGGCAAGGATTGCAGAGGCTACTGTCAGAACCACTGGAGTGGTCTCGGCAGGAAATAGGTATGTTAACCTTTCTTCCTAACTAGCACAACTCAACACCAAGATCACCAATGAAATTCTTTCTTTGCAGGCACAGATCTATTCCCTAGTGGCATTTCTTCACAATCAGAAGAGCCTAGACTAGCTGGCAGTGGTTCAAGGCAGAATTTGTGGCATGCTCAAAGAAGAATGCTGCTTCTGGGTAAACCAAATGGGCCACATTAAAGAATATAGTTGCTGATTCCGCGACCAAGCACGAGAATTGCAGACCTAAGCTGTACATGGATGGAGCCCTTGTTCAGATGCCTGGTCATGGGGTTCCTGGTTAGTACATTTTCTGGCCCCCTTGACCTCTATTGTTCTGCTACTTCTGTTTGGACCTTGTGATTTTAATGTCCTGTTTGTTTTATCTCTTCCAGATTGGAAGCTGTGAGGCTCCAGATGCCTCTGCAGACAACATACTCTAACCTACCGCTCATCCCCCTTGATCTGGCTGCCACTAGGTTCAATGCAGATGCTTTCCCTTTGCCCGGAGAGGGAATAGAAGTGCTGCCATCCAAATCAGCTCAGCTCTATGTCTGTGTTCAGCAGGAAGTAGTTACAGGAGGATGGTCTTTGCCTCTCATCTTCCAAACGAATATGGATAGTATCTCTTGGGTTGGGGAGTGTTAGCTAGGCAGAGGCTGGCAAGGAGAGAAGATTGACAATGGAAGGAAATTGGCAGGAATCTTAACTCAAAAGAAAGGGGGACACATGCTCTCTCTCTCTCTCACACACACACACACACACACACACACACACACACCTCCAGCACAAAGGAAGGTGAAGGGCAGCATAAAACACATTTTCAGAAATCATGGGGGAAAGGAAACAGGGGCCTGTGTAATATATGAAGATAATAATAATTTATAATTTATCAAGGGTGCAAGGGTGGGGGAAGGGAGGGAAAAAAGAAGCACTGATACTAAAGGCTCAATAGAAAGCAAATGTTTAGAAAAGAATGATGGCAACATATGTACAAATGTGTTTGATACAATTGATGCATGGATTGTTGTAAGAGCTATCGGTGCCCCCAATAAAATGATCTTGTAATAAAAAAACAAAAACAAGCAAAAACACATATTCTTTATCTATGGAAGAGACCAGGATATCCTGGGGATAATCCATGGGGAAGAAACACAGGTGTCCACACAACACCACCACCCCTGGCCCTCCCTCTCCCGCAGTGACTGAATAGACTTGAGTTTTGGAGTCTGAGACAAGAGAACAACATAACATCTGGGGTAATGGGATGCACATGCCTGAAGAGGAGGAGGGTGCACTGCAGAAGACCCCTATGGTGGGAGGACCATCTTTAGCAGGACATAAGGCCCAGTTCCTCCTTCCTTTCTAAGGCTGGCTTGACTCCTCGCTCCAACCAACTCGCACCCCCAGCCCCCAGCCCCACTCTCAGAAGGTGAGTTGGCTAGCACTAAGGTGCTATTTAGTCAAATGCTCACCTCCATCTCTGAGGTCGACCAGCAGTTGTTTCAATGTGTGTACATGTGTTTATCCTGCTGGCATGGTGGTTATGGATTGGACTGTGATCTACAAGGTTCAAAATTTGAAACTACCAGCCACTCCAAGGGAGAAAGACAGGGCTTTTCTACTCCCATAAACAGTTACTGTCCTGGGAATTCATAGAGGCAGTTCTACCAAGTTCAATGGAGCCATTATGAATTTGGGATTTTTAGATTAGGCAAGGGCCCTTTGGATTTATTTCCCAAAGTATCCCCTTCAATAAGCTTACTATCTCTCTTCAGATCTTTTCTCTCTGAATTTTGTTTGATTTTTTCCCCTTGCCTGACATCTTTCTTGGGAATGAAAGCAGAATGGAGGAGCAGGGAGACTTGAAACTCCGAGACTCCTCACAGTACAAACCTATGTTCAAATTTCCACCTTTCTTTTGCTGGGTTTTTGGAATTAATTACAATCCACCATCATTCTGAGCCTCAGTTTGTTCAAATGTAAAGCATATATAAAAATTCAAACTTCAAGTAATTTATGTAGGTTAAATTAGCTAATGTACATGAAGTGTACTACTAGTTGTATCATTATTATTGTTTCTGTTACTTGAACATAACACCCTGAAGATTTCTATTCCACAGCTATATAGATATCCCGTTTGATTTATGAATTTACTTAACCTTTGCACTGAAAGGATGTTCCCTACTAGAATAATAATTTTGAACTCGATATCATGGAAGGGGTTATCATGAAAGGATCAATGGCATGGACAATCAATCCCAAAAAGCAAAACTAGACAAAAAACAAAACAAATTGTAGTGCCATCGAGTTTATTCCAATTT